TTACACCCAATAAACACATGGGTTGGAGCAGTAGTTGGTGCTATTCCACCGCTTCTTGGGTAGGTTTTCTATAACGCTCAATTGCACTGTTTGTGTTGTAGATTGTCTAGTTAGCTCAGCTCATGCTTTCCTTTGTTTATCTTAGGGTTTTCTTTTATTGATTTTTGGCTTAGTGCTTGAAATCTTTCACACTCTAGATATCAAGTAATTCTGGTTCATTTTCTGGGTTCAAGTCCAATTTCTTGTGGACCCTCTTTCTTTATGAAGTTCTTACAGGTGGGTAACATTGAAGTTTCTCTGATGCTTGCAAATAAATGATAGAAGAGATAGAAGCTCTATTTTGATGTATCATGAGTTTGTTAACACTATATATTAGTTTGAAAGAGACTTATTCTCGGTTTTCTCGATAATTAGTGCGTGATGGTTTTGAATGTCAGTGATAAACAAAGTAAACAACACAGTTTAGATCATTATATCCTACTGCAGACTGAATCAGGAAGTGTGACCATACAGTTTACAAGCACAATGGTTTGTTCTAAAATCTTACTTTCTTTGTGTTTAAATAAGTGTTACACTTTGACCGACACATAGTTTTAGGCAATTTAATTGACTTAAATAAAATAAGAGTTGAGTGAAGTAGTTGGAGTATTATAAAATTGTAAAAGAAAGGTAGTGGGGTTAATAATTTATTGAAAAGTAATGAATGTCAGGAAAGAAATAATAAAAAAATAGTAGTGTGTTTAGGTTGGAACCATGAGAGGAGAGAGATATATTATAAAACGTAGCTTTTTGCCAAAAAAGAAGTGTTAAACATTAAAACACGGCCGCATTTGGTAAGTGTAACACTTATTAAAACACGGAGAGAGTACAAAGGATCTTTTGAAGTGTTGAAAATAAGCCAAAAAAAAAAAAAAAAAAAGGTTTGGGTGAGGAAAAATTAATTTGTCTTTTTATGTGTTTATTACTTGAGGAGTTGAGGTGTCACCGTGTCACATGATTTCTTTTTTCTGGCAGCTTCTCGCCTTCTCCTTCTCCTATATTCTTATAATTACTATTATTGTATTTCCTTGCAACTTTTTTATTTACTGGAAAAGATTAATTATTTATTTTCATATTTTCTTAGCAAAATAATTTCTAAAAATTTTACAAATGTAATTTATTATACATTAGCTGCCAAGCCCCTGTAACTGTGTACAAATCTCGGACTGAATTTCGAGATTGACATATCGAACACTCAGATCTGTCTCTGTATCTGTACCCGATCCACCTCCCCGAGTCCATGTAACTGAGGTTATGAGAGTTGTTAGGATCACAAAAGGGAGGGGGGGGGGGGGTTGAATTGATGCAAGGAATTCTTAGCTAATTTTTTCGAAATTAGTTAAGCATGTTCAAGAGAATATTTTCATCATGACGATTTGACTATGTCCAAGGCCCAATAGGAAGTGAGAAATTGCAACCAACTCAAACTTTTCATCATATAGGCCAAATGACTCTGTTACAAGACTTGCAACTATTTAAAAACTCGGGTCAAAACTGACCCCTTCATGAACTTGAGTTCCAAAGCAATTGAGCACCCCTTAAATTTGATTGTGGAAATAAGATGATAAAATATTAGTGGTCCATACTATATAAAAGAAGTGTGTCACTTAAAGAGGGTAACTTATTTCTAGCTAGCCTTTGAATGGGTTTTTCTCATGAAAATTTGTTCTTTGCTGGCTTTCTTATTTCCCCAACCACAACTCTTTACTGGTAACTACAAATGAGAAAAAAAAATACCATTTGCAGTAGTCTTGTAAGCTAATCAATGATGTGATCCTGTAAAAAAGGATGCCACATTTTAACATGTAGAATGGGAAAAAACTGCAAATATAATAGTTTTGGTGAGAAAAAACATACCATTTGTAGTAGCCTTATAATCTAATTGATCCTCCAAAAAGAGATGTCACATTTTAACATGCGTGTAGAATGTGTCAAGCAAGCTGAAGGAATGGGTACTTCTACTAGGGGGGCAGGCCCGAACTGGCCCCTGTAGAAGATCCGTCATTGATCTGCATGTCTAAGATCTCCAAACTCGTGATTCATGAAGCCTAATATCTGAACAGCTGGTAAAATTAATACAAATAATCAACTATAGATTATAAACCACTATTAATATTACTTGATGGTTTTTATTATTCCAATGGAGGGACTCTTAACCTTCTATCATTGCATTGTGATTTTGTTATTAATATGTGGGATCGACAGTTATGATTGCAAGGTATCGACTGTTAAGTTGCAAGGTATGGTGGGTCTGCCTAGCCATTGTTCTGGAGCACTTGCAAGTTTCCTGTGAATATTAGACATAATGAACTGAAAGGTTGACTTATGAAATTAGTAATTGGACATGTTAATTTCTGGTGCAAGTGTAGCCAATTGACTTGCACCAACTTGTCATGCAGTTTACTCTATCCCCCCCTCCCCCCCGGCGGCGCGCTGTAGCTATTAATCTGTATTTAAACTTGTTAGAAGTCCCAGGGATCAATAATTGATTAAGTTTTTATTTATTCAATGGTCTTCCACTCTGAATTAGCGTTTTATATTGAAGTTGCACTTGGTTATATTTACGAAGATTCCAGTGCTAATTAATTTGGATAAGACACCGCTGTTATTAGTTTTTGAGATCATACTCTTGAAAAACTAGTGAAGATAGCAGTAATCTCGAGTCGTATTGTTATGACAGATAACATTTCTATACTATCATTATACACGTAGAAGTTTGCTTGCATATTGGAAATGCTTTGTTATTAAGCTGACATCAATTATTGGTGCTGCAGGTGGGCTGCTGCTGCTGGTGAAATTTCTCTTAATGGGATGATTCTCCCTGCTGCTCTGTATTTTTGGCAAATTCCCCATTTTATGGCCCTTGCATACTTGTGCCGTGATGATTATGCTGCTGGAGGGTATGCAACTTTTGAAATCTTTGGACTTTAGTACTTTAAGCAGTTTCTGATATGTTTCATGTGAAGCTGTGTAAGTATCGGGATAACAGACATCACAGTGGTGAGAAGAGGATAGTAGATTGTACTTGTTGCATAGAGTTTAACTAGATGTCTATCATACAGTTCAACTCTTTAGGACCTAAGAGATAAAAAACACCAACAAGAGAAACTGCTACTGAGAGTATGAGATATCATGTAGTAGTATACTTGGACTTTGATCAAATTTTGACCTTGATATAAGCCTTCTACTTTCATAGATAGCTTTGCATCTCAAAAATTGCCTTTCATGTTATTGTTACAAATCCTGATCAAATGAAATGATTATGTATTTACTTGCTAGTATTGGCATTTATAAACAGATATACACAAGTTACAGTTTTGGAGCTGTATGTTGTAATATCATATTGTCAATTGGAACGTCAGTGATAGTAGGCTGCATGTTAAGTGAGATGTGGCACTAACACGTATGACAAATTCATGATAATGGTTCATGCCAAGAGATATTATATTACCAGACTAATATATTCTCAAAATGCTATTAGCTATGTTGTGGTATCATATTCTTAAGAGTTCATCTTTTTTACATACAGGTATAAGATGATTTCTCTTGCTGATGTCTCTGGTCGAAAAACTGCCTTGGTTGCGCTGAGGAACTGTCTATATCTGGTTCCTGTAGGTTACTTGGCATATCAATGTGAGTGACTCCACATGATTCATATACTAATTAGCAAAAATTACTTGGACAAAAAGACTACTAGAGACTAGTATTATTTTCATTCTGCTCCTTTGGATTCGTTCTGATGTTTCATATGTCATCTTTGTTGTTATAGGGGGATTAACCTCTGGATGGTTTTGTCTTGAGTCATCATTGTTTACTCTAGCGATTGGTGGCACAGCAATGTCTTTTTATTTGAACAGAACCACAAAGAATGCTAGGAGAATGTTCCTTGCTAGCCTTCTTTATCTTCCAGTATTTATGTCAGGGCTTATGTTTCACCGTCTATATAATAATTGGCAGAGCTCTTTGGTGGATGATTCAGCTACAGAAACTCTTCCATCATCAAGGTTTATGTCAGAGAGTGAGTCTGTTGACAATGAAAAGCAACTTAAAAATATGGCTTCTGGTAAACAAGTCCGGCCACCTGTTGCTTATGCCTCTGTCGCACCATTCCCTTTTTTGCCTGCTCCATCTTACTCACATTACTAGAAACTGAAGTTTTTATTGCATAATACAGAATACGTCTTTTTTCCTTGTATATGTAGATCATTCTTGTTTCCTTTTCTGTTTTCTTACAATGGATTCAGTTGAGCTGAATCTGCAATGGCTTTTTTTATGACTTGGCGAGTGCCAGGTGAAGTTTTGTCCATTTTGTTTTCTTTGATGTAGCTCTCTGTTGGCCTTTAATTTTTATTCTCAAATAAATGAGATTGTATTTTGATTGGTCACTTTTCATCATTTTGAAGAAGGCAGTAAGAAACTACAGTGAACTCTGTTAAGATATGCTAGTTTTCTACTCATTTACTGAAACAATTTGAACTTACCAGCACTTTTTCATTGTCTTCCTAAAAGTTTGATATTCAACTCTCCCCTTACCTTACCTTAAGATGGGGGGCAAAACCTTAACGATGTAGCTATCCCGAGATGGTAATTTCAAGTTTTAACCATTTGGTTACCTGGGTAGGCAGAACCGCATAAGTCCTAGAATTCAACCTTTAAAGAGATTATAATTATAGTTAGGGGAGCTTATGAGACAGGATAAGACAACTTATAAGCTACTCAAGCTTAACTTGGTCAACACTCAGTTCTCTGAGCTCAATTTCAACAACAATCAATTCTCTACAATTTGCGAGCTACTAAGTCAGAACTCTGGGTTGATTTACAACAATTCAACCCAAAAGCAACTGTTGTCGTAGACTTTCCTATTTCCATGGTACAGTGGTATTGAAGCACGGGTACAAGTGACAAGTTAAAACAATATATGCAGCTGATAAGGATTTATTATATTTCAGGGCATAAAACAATATATGCAGCTGATAAGGATTTATTATATTTCAGGAGATAAATCAAAATGGATAAAAATCCAATGGCCCAAATCTACCAAAAAGGCTGCTGTTCCCATACACACAATACATTTGCCATCATCACATTTCATCGGAAAAACAATTTCCCACACCACTTTTCTATATCTATGGCTTTACATCATAACCAATGTACACTAATTCACATTGTTTTGCATTTGTTTAACTTAACCCAGGGGTATAAGAATTTCCCGCACAACAGATAATATCATAGAATTGCACAACCTCTCCAACAATAGGCAGAAACAGGCAAAAAATGAAATGCCTCATGTGGAATATCAAGTCCAGAAGTCACACTAAATTCCACATTCCATTTATCGAAGCTTGATGGTTTCATTTGGAAGTATAACATTTGGGTTTCGGATATGCGGATTAAGTGCAGCTAATTGTTTCCATTTGGCTCCACTGCCATGAAACTTAGCAGAAATACTCCATAAGGTATCACCTGGCTGAGATGCAACTGTGGCTGGCAATGAAGATTTGGCAGCAATCTTTGGCTTCGTAAATGAAGTTTTCCCCTTCCCCATGCCATTTGCAAGCAACCAACGTGATCCTGATTGCTGTTGCGCACTACTGCCCCACAGCTTTTTCTTACCAAGCTCAGTTTTTAAACCTGAAACATGCACCTCACTGATTTTGTACTGAGGAATAAAGTCCTGTTCTGGGGTTTTCTCTTCAGGCTCCTGCTTCTTCTCTTCCTTGGTAACTGACTCAAGATCATCTTCATCACTGCTGTCTTTTGGTGCAGAAACTGTGCTGTATATCTTTGGCTTCGGAGGAACAAAAACCCTTTCCACTTGAATCAGAGCAAGCATTGGTGTGCCAACTGGCTCATAGTCTCTTAAGGGATCACGAAGTTGGACCATCAAGGCAACAGTGAAATTGTTACCTAATAAGCCACACCTCCTTCCAGAACCTTTACCCTGCTTTTTATCTCCCTTCCTCCCAAACATGTTTAAATCTGTGTTTTTGGCATGGTGGGCAGCTAAAAGCTTTGAAGTCCTCTCACTTAGTCGCTCATCTTCGTCAATTTCACCAGAATCCAGCTTCATCCATTCATCCAATGTTAAAGATAAACTCATTAGCCCATCATCGCTATCAACCCCACTGTTCTCAAGGGCTAATAGCTTCAATCCTGCAGCTCCCTCCAAACCCATCGACGCAATGGAAGTTATACCTTTCCTTTCAACAGCTGAGACTTCCCCGATAGACTGAGCATTGATGTTTGAAGGTGCCTCCTCATCTGACATGCCAGACTGTATTCTCAAACCCTCAATTGATAGTGCTTCAATCTTATCCACTGCCAATGGTGCTAAATCTTCTAAAGATACAAATTCTGACTGTCCCTCATCAAAATACAAGCTTGCACTAGTTTTTTTAGATTTCCGGCAAGAAGAAGGTTGTTTAACTTGTTTATTTCCATCAGATATATGAAGGCCATCTCTTCGCTCATCTTGAAGCATATATTGGCTGTGTACGAGGGAGGCAGAGAAACAAGATAGTCAATAAAACAAACCTAAATTGCAGATGAACAGATAGAGTCAAATAAAAAATATTTTAAAAAATAAAGACTCAAACCTTTCAGACGCTTCCACACGAGGTACAGCTTCCCAAGCTATTTGTTGCATTGTTCTTCCAGTGATATCTTCCAAAGGCATTAACTTACTGGCTTGCACAGATAACTTTTCAAGTCCTATTGAAGCCAAATTCTGTAATATATCTATTACCCCAGACCCCAACTCAGCAGGAACCACAACAGGACTAGATACCTGCATGATTAGGCTGCCACCACTCTTGGCATTCGTAAAGTGGTTAGGGTTCATGGATCGCAAAAATCCTCCGGTCTTGGTTTGAACAAATGGACCTAAGCCTTCTCCAAGGGAAGGTAACTGTAAAGATTCTATAGGAGGGAGATCAATAGGACTGCCAAAGCCACCTCTATTGTCTGGTGGAGAGCTCTGGAAAGCCATCTCGTCCAAGCCCCATTCTTGCATAAGTTCTTGTGTTTCCAAATCTTCCATAACTTTGGCCCTAATCTTGGGATATTCATGCTGATCTACTGTTAAGAAATCAGAATCCTCAGAATACTCCTCCCACCCAGAAATAGTGGGAGCATAATAGTCATAATCTTCCATTTCCTCTTCATCAATATCAAAACCAAATAACGAACAACCACTAGCCTCTGCTTCCTTTTCGAATTCTCTCAAGAGACGCTCTCTTGGAGACTCAGGCTCCGTTTCATAATCAAGGGCAAAGGAAGAATCTTCCACTCCGAGCATGCTTAGAAATTCATCAGCAACAGTGTCTGCAAGGTCATCCAAGCTAACTGAAGGCATTACCATGTTTGGCTCATCCTCATTCTGGTTTTCTTGATCGCTCGATTCACTTTTGGCCTCTGAGGTGTCTAATCCTTCTTTCTCAAGGTCAGCAACATTGCTCAAAACTGACTCCAGATCTTCTAGAAGTGATTCTTTGGTGCACATACTCTTTTCTGCGAAGTTGGAATCATTTGTTACATATTCATCTCTTTTGAAGTCAGCTTCCATTTGACAAGATACTCCAGCATTGTTGTAGACTACAGAAAGATCAGAGCTCATTACATCTTGATTATCAACAATTTTTGCCCCATCCTCCACATCTTGACTATCAACAACCTTTGCCCCATCCTCCACATCTTGATTATCAACAACCTTTGTCCCATCCTCAATCACGTCTTGATAATCAACAACCTTTGCCCCATCCTCCACCACGTCTTGATTATTAACAACCTTTGCCCCACCCTCCGCCACATCTTGATTATCAACAACCTTTGCCCCATCCTCCACCACATCTTGATTATCAACAACCTTTGCCCCATCCTCCATCACATCTTGATTATTAACAACCTTTTCCCCATCCTCCACTAATGTTGTCTTCTCCTCCAAATATTCCACCCCCTTCTCAACAAATGAAAACTCAGAATTCTCATCATTCAACATATTTTCCTGATTAGATTCTGATGGAGAGCAATGAGATGACTTTACAGGTTTGTCATCATCTGTAGGCACTTGAATTTCACGCTTATCTTCAACCAAGGAGTCTGAGTCCTCCTGATCAAACTTTTGATACAGCATGCTTACAGAGCTAGATAATTCAGACATTTTTGAAGATGGAACCTCATGGAGAACTTTTACATCATCCATAAAACGAGTTGTTGTAGATGACTTTAAATTTGAAGGAAGGCTTCCAGCACGCCTCATCGAGCTCTTCCCATCACCTTGATTAGATTTTACATGATTCCTGGCAGTTGACTTTGAGTCCAAAAGTTGAAGCATATTCTTGTTATTATGAGCAGTACCATCCCCTAGCACCAAATATCCAAAACTAACATGCATGACAGCACCTTTTGCCTCACCTGATAGCTTAAAGCTTGTTGTCCATGTCCCAGAACTCTTCTCATCCTCCAACTCCTCCAATGTAAGTGGAAGCAGCCTTGTGAGATCAACACGATGCTTTCCTAAATCAACCCTTGGATGCCCATAAACTGCCGCATAAATTAAAAAATGCTTCGCCTCATACTTGGCAGAATGGTGTGGACCACTCCTACTGCCATAAACTGAACAAGTATGAGTTAGTTTCTGCTCAATTCCAGCGGCTCCTTTGATAACCTTGATTGGGCTAGTGACTACTTCTCCATCCCTTCTCTTCCAATGAACACAAATGCTAATATCATTGAATTTAGAGGGCAACCCTTCAATTTTATGGACTTCAAGACTAAAGCAACAATTAAACCTTCGATTTCTGACATGGGAAAAAGCCTTCAAAGGTTTCCAATTCCAAATCGACTTCTTCTCCTTGGTTGAGGGGACATCACCGCCATGCTTTGATGTTGGATTGGACACCAATACATTATTCTTATCAACTGTTCTAGGCAGACTTCTAGCTGCAGAAGAGGAGCTTTTTGACGGATTCCTGTCCAAATAGAGTGCCTTGCTAATACTTTCGATTTCATTTAACAACTTCCCCTTACTGGAATCGTCAGTTCTTTTATATCTAGCAGCATCTCGTGACGCCATGATCCTACTGGACAACAAGTCAACAACAGACATTGTAAAAAAATAATCAAGTCAGATTCAAGTCTAACACAGCTAATAGTTCAGATGCTAAGATGTTCCTGGCATGACAAAAAAACAATATAGTTCAGAATACCGATGGAAATAGTTGTGTTAACTAGCTTTCTTTGTTCCACAATACTCGTCACTTCATACTTTAGAATACCAGTAAAATAAATTTATTCAATTTAAACAACCTTGCGTAACCAATATAATTATACTTGTCAATTTAGAACACCATGCCTTATAGCCAACAAAAATTTTAATCAGTCCTTGGTACTCACAATAAGCTTATTCTTTGTTTTTCCAATCTCTTCTACTCATTTATTTAGCACATTTAAAGTTAATGATAGATCAGCCGTCACAGATGATGCTTGTGTTAGAATGGCCACTAAGAAGAATATGATTTTAATAATAATAAAAATTCCCCAGAAAAACAGAATCAAAATCTTGAACTTTGGATGTGCAAAAATGTCATTTTCTTCAGAAAAAAAAAAAAAAAAAAAAAAAATCTTGAGAATAGGCAACCCTAGATTTATGGTATTTATTTACAATAGCCTTATATGTAACACAACTTTAAATTCGCCCACGTAATATGGTTCGGCATTGATGTGATTCTCTTTATAAATGCACCATGTTCACAGTTTCTTTAATCTCTCTGTTAAGGCATTCACAAATTTATAATTCTAATACAATTGAGGTAACATTAGGAGATATCTTGGCCATTCAAGGTTCTATTGGGAAAAAACTTATGTTCAATGTTAGCTTGTATAAATTCCCTCTATTCTTTGAAAATGATAAGGAATAGAATAATAAGCATCCCAAAGACGTACTCCCTCGGTCCTTTAATGTTTGCCCCATTCTCCATTTTAGTTAACCCCTTAAAGTTTTCCTAATACTACTTTGGTTGTAGGGGACCAAAACTTTACTCTCACGCCCAGTAAGGCCACTACATTCGGTCACACCAATTTTCTTTCTCATCATTTCATCCGAGCTAACAATTAAATAAGTAGGCATTGCTCCAATGGAAAAAACAAAAAGGGAAGAAAGGATTAGAATAATACAAATATGTCCTATCCTGAACAACACCACCAAAGATCTTGCATGAAAGTGGAGAACTAAAAAGCACAAGTCTAGAACTAATAATATTACTAGCTTAATTTCTAATTACTACTTCAGCATAAATGCACCAGCTCAAATGTCTTGCAAAATTTTTTACCTTTATTTGCTAATGGGCAACCGGTTACTTGCCTCTAAGTACTAATTTGATCAAAAGCATTTTCGCAATTATAAATGTTAAGCGGAGCTCTTCTACTCCCCCATGCCTATAACGAGGGCCTATCTTATAACACAGGGTTACTCATATGGTAACACTAATAATAACTAAAAATCTATGAACCCTCCTTCATTAAGGCTTGTATCACATAATTGTCAACACTAAAGCTTCCAAAATAAAAGCGACAACTAATTACTTCGACATAGACCTACTTGTTCAATCAACCAACATCATATCATATCACAATCATAAACACTCAGCTACCTAATAAGCTTTAGCTTTCACATTTACTTTGAAACCAACAAAACAAATTAAAACCCCTTTCTCCTCAACCAATTTAATCCTTTCAAAATTATTGCATTTAAATTTAATAATTATGTCAACCAAAATAAGTGCTACGAAAATATTGCATTCTTCATTGTCAAATAATTTCTTTGTTTCTAGCTCCCTCTAAATCAAACTTTACTGATAAACAGGTCACCTAACAAACAATCAATGGTGGACCCAGATTTTATTTATTTATTTTTTCTTATTTAGCCCTAAAATAATCGTTGCTTTGACAATATAATTCAAAAAACCATTTTTCCTATATTCATTCATATCTTGAATTAGCAACTAAAACTTTCCAATCACCAAATTCAAACCCAATTTTTAAAATCCCAAATGAGCAAATAATCTCTAGTTTCAATCCAAAAAATTTCACAAACAATTAATCAACCTAAACATCAATGAATAAAAAATCAACAAGAAACAATTAAAAAAAATTTTTTTTTTTTTTTTTGGAGATGGAATATTGAAATTACCTGAAGTTGAATGACGATGTTGCGAAGTTAAGAATAAGGCTCCTCCACCATTATTAGATCTTGAGGAAGAAGAAAGAAGGAATTTTGGGTTAAGTTAGAGTTTGGGGGTTTTCAGACAAAGAAGAAGAATAAGCTAATTGTATTGAAAATGCGTTGAGAAAATGACAAGGAGAGAGAAAATGGAGGGGCTTCTCTTTCAAAATTGAAATTGTTTTACGCTGACTCGTCTTTTACATATAAGCTGTCTGTTGAGTTGGTTTTAGGCTTTGTTCACTTCTCTTAAAATAAGATGCTTTCTTAAATTTTTAATTACTTCTTCTGTTCCTGAATACTACTGATAATGACAATACTTATAACTTTAGATGCTACTCCGTATAAATTGATCCAAACCAATTTAAACCGGTCAGATTTGATCTGATCTGATCCAATCTGAAAGTAATTTGATCCTGATTTCGACTTATATTTGCCATATAATTTATTACAACTCAATCTTAAAATATACTTGACACAATCTAATGGATCCGATTCGATCATCTTAATTGACACGTGTAATTGTACGTGTACGTATATGAATACTAACAAGAGTTACACGACAATACTATCATTTTATCGTGTGTCTCTCCAAATAAGTCCGCTTGCATAATTTCTTTTTATGACGCTTACTACACTTAGCTTGCACTAATTCTTTGTTGTTTCTTTCTTTCACAAACCATCAAAATTACCCCATTAACTCCACCTACACATTACTTTCATTACTTTATTCTTTTTATTCTTTTATGTTTGTTCTATTTGAAATAATTCATTAGAGATAAAGTTTCTTCATACTTTTACATTAATATAGGCACGAAAAAACAATTATTTTATGTGGATTTTGTTAGAATTCATGTCAATTTGTAACTCCAAATTATATCTATTTATTAATTTTTCATATTTTATTGCTAAGATATGTGCATTTAAAATTGTGAAAAGTTAAATGAAATAAACATAAAGGAACAAATGAATATGATAGATGTGTCACATAAATGCGAGTAATATATTTCCATAACACTATTGCTAATTTATACTTTAAATACAATTATGAATTATCTTACTAACGAGCGTCCCCGGGGAATAGAGAACAATTTAATAACTACAAAAATAGTATTAATTTGGGAATAATGCATGTCAAAAATCATGTGTATGTAATTAAATTTATTTCAATTTAATATTACTACTCTAATTCATCTAATCCCACGCTCCTAAAGCATTCATCAGCTTTTGCCAATTAGAATACTAATTAATGAAAAAAGTGAGCCTCGTTTAATAGCAAAGAGTTACAACGGGGATTAAATTGAAAACTTATGTGGCATGAAAATTTTGATTATTAGCTTGCTATTAAAGTTGCTCAATTACAAGAGTATGTATCGTGTAATTAAGACATTAAGTACATACTCCCTCCTTGTTTTTTTAAGTGTTACACTTCCCATTTTCGGCCGTGTTTTTTTTAAGTGTTACACTTCCTTTTTTGGCAAAAAAACTACATTAAAATATTATATCTCTCTCCTCTCATGGTCCCCACCTAAACCCACTACTACTTTTTCTATTTTATCTTTCCTCTCACATTCATTACTTTTCAATAAATTATTATCCCCACTATATTTATTTTACAATTTTTTAATATTCCAACTACCCCACCTACCTCTTATTTTTTTTAAATCAATTAAATTGCATAAAACTATGTGCCGGTCAAACTGTAATACTTAAAAAAAACACGAAGGGAGTATACAATAATTAAGACAATACTCCCTCCGTCCTTTAATACAAAGCCTCATTTCCTTTTTGGGTAAACCAAAATATAATATCTCTTTTTATTTAAAGGTTGTATTTTTTGACATTACTACCATTTTTTTATGAGTTGTCAAATTTTTTCCTTTACTTTTTTGTACTTTTAACATCAATTCCTAACACTTTCTCTCTCTATCTCTTTAATTATTTTCAACTACTTTTTCTTTCTCTCTATCTCTCTCTAACCAAACATGCACATGTGTGCCTTTAATATTAGTTTTACAAAGTTACAACTTTTTTAATTCTCGTGCAAAAACCAATATACTTCCTCCGTTCTTTATTACTTGACCCGCTTTGACTTTTACACTATTCACCACCCCTCCTTTGACCGTCTTTTGTGAATAATATGTAAGGAAAAATATATTCATGTATGATTTTTTGGATTCGTCTCAATAAGTACTATCATAATATATAACTTTTATAATTTTTACTTATGGAGAATTTAAGTTATTGATCGTCAAAGTTTTGCATTGGCAAGCGTGATAAAAGAAACAGGTCAAGTAAAAAAGAACAGAGGAAATATGCATTGTATGAAAAGACGGAGGGAGTAATAAATTACGGAGTATTAATTTATAAGTAGAGGTTTAAAAAATATATATATATTAATTTATAAGTAGAGGTTTCAAAAAAAAAAAAATAATAATAATTTATATGTAGATGTTTCGTGTGCATGAACGCATGAAGTATATCTTAATGTATAATGAACATTTTGGCATTTTGCAAGATAAATGTAATGAGCATAAAACAATTCAAAGAATAGAAGGTAAATGAATGAGAATAATGTGAATCTTGCTGTTATTTAATCAATATAGTTCTCCAGGGTATAATTTAATGCAGTCACGCAAAGCACCACGGGGGCAATTCAGTCAGTCTTCTATATTATGAACAATTCCATTCTGCATATATCTTGTTTTTAGAGAAGTTAAATTAAGAATTAGATTTGATAAAATTGACTGGTATCAACCTCTTTTTTTGTTTTACAATAATTTGACTAGGTAGTAGGTACATATGTCAACGCATAAGTTTGAGTGTTTGTCTATTGATATATGACAATATTAAAATATGAAGCATATATTTGTAAAACAAATTGTTGAAGTTGATACTTTGCAATATATATTATCATAATATCAAAATTTGAGTTTTTTCTTTCAAAAATAAAATAAAATTGAGTTTTATATATTATTAAAATATAAATATACTGTCAAAATTAATATACTTCTCCGTAATGAGAGTTCTCAAATAAAAAATTACTTTCTCGATCATTTTTTTTGGAAAATTTGCCAATTACTACCGCAAGTTAATACTACTTTATAAATTACTACTGCAAATTAAAAAAGTTGTGAATTACTACCGCAAAAAATTTTAACATGTTGCTATTACTACCAAACTCCCATTAAACCCAACTATAACGTCATTATATCACTTTAACCCATGGTTAAAGCCCTTAACCATGACGTCATTATATCCCTAAACCATTTTTTTTGTAGGGGGGGGGGCTGGTTAAAACCCTTAACCATGGTCAAACACGGGTTAAAGGGATATAATGACGTCATAGTTGGGTTTAATGGGGGTTTGGTAGTAATCGCAACATCTTAAAATTTTTTGCAGTAGTAATTCACAACTTTTTTAATTTGCGGTAGTAATTTACAAAGTGGTATTAACTTGCGGTAGTAATTGGCAAATTATCCTTTTTTTTTAATTCTAATTATTTTTTTAATAGTCTATTACGGAGTATATTCTACTTAGTCGTTATTTTTTTTTTTTTTTTTTTTGGAGGAATTCTGCTTAGTTGACTATAGGTACTTAATTTTAGGAAAAAAAACAAATTGAGCATTAATTACAAAGTATATATTTATTAGAGTTAAGTATAAGTTTGGGGACTAACCTTATACATTTTTCACCTTTTGGGACCTCTCATTTTTTTTTTCACCATTTGGAACCTCAATAGTACAATCCGGCCAAAAAGTGAGTCCCTTGGGTTAAATAAGTCAGTCTATCAAAGTAGGGCTTCAAGCTTACCCTTTTTCATTGATTGATCCTCAAATATATAGAGTACATAGTTTCCTAAAGCATAACAAAATAATATCTTCAAGATATATCTTAAGCCTATAAACTAGGAAACTAAGTATATGATAACAATCACAAAGATATGTAAGATTTCCTAATTATATTCCTAACACCCCCTCCCCTCAAGTTGGAGTAGGTGGAGTGAAGATGCCCAACTTGCCAAGCAGTAGATCAAATTGAGCTTTACCGAGAGCTTTTGTAAAGATGTGGGCCTTGTTCACGTGTAGAAACATAGGATGGATCAATAAAACCTTTTGAAATAGCATCTCGGACGAAGTGACAATCAACTTCAATATGCTTCGTCCGCTCATGGAAAACCGAATTCTTTGCAATGTGCAAAGCAGATTGACTATCACAAAATAGCTTGATAGCCTTAGGATGTTGTACTCCTAAGCTCAACAGTAGCCGTTTCAACCACATCAACTCCATTGTGGTAGCGCACATACAACGATATTCGGCTTCCGAAGAACTTGTAGAGACCGTCTTCTGCTTTTTAATTTTCCAAGAAATAGGTGACTTACCAAGAAATATTATCCACCCTGTCAAAGATCTACGTGTCAAGGGACACGCAGCCCAATCTGAATCGCACCAACCCTGCAAGGTTAATTCACTGTCTGAGCGTAGAAAAATTCCTTGACCCGGAGTTCCTTTCAAATATCTTACAACTCGCAGAGCTGCCTCCCAATGTTCAGTTCTTGGAGCATGCATGAACTGAGACAAAATATGAACGGAATATGCTAAATCGGGCCGAGTGACAGCAAGATAAATCAACCTACCAACAAGTCTGAGATATGGTTCCGGATCATCAAGAAGAGGACCGCTTGCTAAGCCAAGCCTGTGATTCTGCTCCATGGGAAAGCCGGCTGGCTTTGATCCCAATAGTCCTGCTTTTGTAATGATTTCAAGAGTATATTTTATCTGGCATAGGAACAAGCCTGAAGAGCTACGAGCCACTTCAATTCCCAAAAAATATTTCAGAGTACCAAGATCTTTCATATGAAAACAATCAATAAGATATGCTTTGAAAGCCCTTAACGCAACGGAGATCATCCACATATACAAGGACATTAATTTGCACGACACCCTTTGTATAAGTAAACAATGAATAATCAGAATACGATTGTCGAAATCCATATGCCTTCAACGACTTCGTTTGTTTGGCAAACCAACATCTAGGAGCCTGTTTTAAACCATACAAAGATTTCCGAAGGCGACATACCTTATTCGGATGAGATGATTCAAAACCTGGGAGGAGTTTTATATATACTTCCTCCGCAAGATCACCATGAAGAAAGGAATTGTGGACATAGCAAGAAAAGCTCTAACTATGACCATTTTAGCAACTGGAGCAAATGTTTCGGTATAATCAATACCCTCCTTTTGATGATTTCCAAAGACGACTAATCTGGATTTTAGTCGTTCAATACTTCCATCGGAGTTATATTTGATTTTATACACCCACTGACTGCCTAAAGGTCGTTTGTCGGGAGGGAGATCTTCCATTGTCCATGTGCAATTTTTTTCTAGAGCTTGAATTTCATTTTGCATTGATCGTCTTTAACCTGCATCTTTCATGGCCTCCTTAAAAGACCGTGGCTCTTTTCCAGAAGTAATAGCTGCAATATAATTTCTGTAATGTGGAAAAAAACTATCACAATTAATATAATGTGCTATAGGGTAGGGAGTACCTGAGGGATGCCGTGGAGACGAAGTGTTAGGAGAGTGAGATGGATATGGACTGTTTGTACTGACTGTATGCGTAACAAAGTCTCGGTGTTTGACATTTGGAAATTTCTGTCTCATACCCCGGCCTAATTCTCCATGTTTCTTGGTGTGCATAGGCTGCGGTACTGTTTCTTGTTGCTGCCGAGTTATGGCAGTGGGCTCCGTGCCCCCCTTGCTTGCATCACACTGCTGCAGCGTGTCTTGGGCACCTGCTGCTTGCTGCCGCAACCCAGCAGTAGACTCCGCGCCCTCCCTGTGGCCAGCAGCATCCAGCCGCGGGCTGCTTTCGGACTGGTCTGCTTGCTGTCCGTGAGCGCTTGTTGCTGGCTGCTGTGGTGAGGGCTGCTCACGCACTTACTGTGGGGTTACTTGAGGCACAATACCCCAACCCTCACCAACTTAAATTCTTGAAACCCCATACTCACATCATCGAAGTCATACGGCACATCCAAATGTATTGGAGCAATTTTTTCTGGAATGATATTTGTGGAAATTGGATCAAGAAAACGGAAGACATCTTCAAAGAATTTAACATCACGAGACACAAAAAATTCCTTTGAATCAAGATCAAATAATCTCCAACCTTTCTTTCCAAACGGATAGCCGACAAAAACACATTTACGACTCCGACTTGCAAATTTATCACCCTTAGCTTTTTTATTGTGAGCAAAGCAAAGACACCCAAAAGTACGAATGGTAGAATAAGATGGGTGTGTGCCGAATAAAATTTCATAGGGGGATTTATTTTTCAAGACAGGAGAAGGAGTTCGGTTTATTAAATGTGCGGCCGCAAGAATACTCTCACCCCAAAAATATATAGGCAAATTAGCTTGAAATCTCAAAGCTCTACCCACATTTAAAATATGTTTGTGTTTCCTTTCAACACGACCATTTTGCTTTGGAGTACCCACACATGATGTTTGAAATAAAATGCCAGTTGCAGTAAAGAAATCACGCAAACAATTAAATTCGGTGCCATTGTCACTTTGAACTATTTTAATTGTTTGAGAAAATTGTCTATCCACCATTGCCACAAAATACATAAACATATGGAAAACCTCAGTTTTATCAACTAGCAAATAAATCCAAACAACACGAGAAAAATCATCAACTATAGTCAAGAAATAACGAGCACCACAAGACGGTGCATGTTTATAAGAGCCCTGTTTGGGGTAAAAATACCCTAATCACATGGCCCAATGGCCTAGTGACACGTGGCATCCAGCCATTGGTCAGCAGGGCTCCAATCCTCTGCTGACACGTGTCCTCTAAACCCTAAAAAGGGAACCATCCCTTCCCCACTATAAATAGTGGAAGGACCCTTATTAATGGGGGCTGGAACATTTGTTGATCACATTGAATACTCCTCAAAAAGAAACACACTTACCCCGAGCAATATTAATTGCGGAATTCTCCCATTACGCGAGAAGTAACCTCCACCTTACGTGCATTCTACCTCCCGTATCTTTACTAACTTGATCGTCGGAGGCGGAGCTCCTACCCCCAGGAGTCTTCGTGATTTTGCAGGCACAGGCGTCGAAGGGCATTCTTGGAATCGTAACTCTCCCGCAGGACACATCAAAAAACCCCGAAACATTTGGCGCCGTCTGTGGGGAGAGTACTTCTAAGATGACTTCTGATACCGTGTCACCGAATCAGGGCAAACGGCCTGTGGTCGAGCCTGAGGTCCAGACGGACCATGAAAGTGGCGACGAAATTGAAACATATGTGGCCCCGGATGGGTCCTTCAGAACGAAGCACCCTCGTGCTAAAGATAGAAGAGAACGGGAAATCAGCCAAGCTGCTCCCAGCAACCCAGCCGGGCAACCGGCTGGAATTGCCCAAACGGTGGAGGGCTCAGCCCCCGTTACAAGAAACGAACTCATGTCGTTCATGAATAGTTTCAAGGGTGAGATCAAGAGCCTCATCCGGTCAGCTACTCCAAAGAAGGGTCAGCCGGCCAAGAAGCCTTCTGGAAAGAAGGCGGTCAAAGAACGAGTTCCTACCTCTCATCCCAAGCCAAAGGAGGGGGAGGGCTTAAGGTTTGATCCAAGCAGACTCCGTTTTCCTCAAGGGGAGCTGCGAAAGGCCATCCGGCACGTACAGCCGGATGGCTCCAAGAAAACATTCTCAGACGCCCGCACATTTCTCCAAGAGAAGCGAGGTCAGGCGTCTGCGTCGGCCTCAACGTCGACCTTCCCGGACAGTTTCCATGACGTCTCACACAGGCGTACGGGAACGAACCTTAGGAGCCAGACGGGCGAAGCTTCTGCCCGGTCTGGACCCAAAGTGATCCAGCCTGGCCTATTCGGCACACCGAATGGGTTGGGTGGATCCCCTTTCATGTCACCGGGTCTTTTCGGTGGGCAAGCGCAGCAGCCGTTCCAACCCACGGACTGGCAGCTGCGCCTGCTAAATTTGGGGGAACAGCCAACGGCGTTCTCACCAGAGATAACCCAGGCGGCACAGCCGCCTAAGATCAAGAATGTTTTGGTGGGGGCCTATGATGGCACCACCAACCCAGAAGACCATCTAATGGCCTACTCTAACCTCATGTACCTCTAGGGGTTAGATGATGCCGTCTGGTGTCGATGCTTCCCGGCTACCCTCAAGGGCATAGCCCAACGGTGGTTTGGTAACCTACCAGCCGGTTGCATCAACAGCTTTCGAACTTTGGCGTACTTGTTCACGTCAAATTTCTCAATGAATATTCCTGCCAAAAAGACTAGCCTCGACCTAGGGGCAATACAGCAGGGCGACCGGGAGGGCCTCCGGTCATACGTCAGACGGTTCAATCTGATGAGAATTCAGATTCCAGGACTATCAGACGAAGTGGCCTATACAGACTTCTTTCGAGGTCTGAAGGATTGGTCGACCTTTAAGTTTGACCTCGTCTGGAAGAGGGTTGCTACCCTCCAAGAGGCGTTAATTGAAGCTGAAGCCTATATACAGGCGACGGAGCTTTGTGCTGTCAAGCAGCCGTCAGATTATAAAAAGTCTGACAAAAAAGAGAGCCGGCAACAGCATCAGCCGGCAAGAAAGGAAGAAAAGAGAAAAGGGGTCTGGGCAGCTGACCGATCAGGACAGCCGGCCCAGAAGATCAGGCGGAAGTCAGAACCATATGCCCCCAAATACGAGTTCACAAAATATTGCTCCACCATCCTCCTGGAAATCAAAGACCGGATGTCTCTCGACAAACCGGCTGAAATGAAAAGCCCCGTGAATAAACGGGACAAGAGAAAGTATTGCCAATACCATGAGGATGTTGGCCACGACACCAATGGCTGCTATAGCCTCAGGCGGCTATTGGACCGTCTGGCAGATGAGGGGGCCCTAAAATCCTATCTACCTAAGGCTAAGGGTAATGCCCAGGCCAAGAAAGGGCAGGCGGCAAAAACCGGCCCAGTCAACTCCGAGACGGATGAAGAGACCATCTTCACCATAGCAGGCGGTTTTGCCGGAGGGGGTCCCACCATCTGGGGCACCAAAGACAACATCAGGAAGCTGGTCAACTCAGTGGATGAGGGCCAGGCGTCGAAAGACATCTTCCCTGAGGTCCTTATTTCTGAAAAGGACCGGGGCAAGGTCAGGCGGCCTCATGATGACCCCATCGTCATCGAATGCAAGGTTGCCAACCAGAAGGTTGGCCGGATCCTAATAGACACCGGGAGCTCGTCTGACCTAATCAGTTATCAGTGCTTGACCAAGCTCAAGTACACATCCGGTAACATGCACCAGGCTCCTCACCCACTGGTCGGTTTTGGGGGTGGAGTAGTGCATCCGGTCGGAAGCATAGATCTTCCGATCCGGCTGGGTGAAAAGGGGCAAGGACGCCACATGATAGTCAAGTTTTTAGTTGTGGAGGAGCTGTCCGCCTACAACATGATATTTGGCCGTCCTACCCTCAACGCATCTAAGGCTGTCATCATCCCGTCCCTCATGTTGGTCAAATTTCAAAAGGATGATGGTACAGTCGGTGCCCTAAGCGGGGACCAGAAGACGGCAAGAGAGTGCTATCTCTCTGACGTCAAGACAACTGTGGGTGCAGCCGGCCAGGGCGAGCCCATAGATATTGATAACTGCGATCCAGCAGTCCCGGCTCCAAGGGCAGCCGGTATGAAAAGAAAGGCGGACCAACTGGCACCCGTCAAAAAGGAGAAATAGCAATCACTAGCCGGGGAAAGGTCAGATGACCAACGACCTCAGCCGGCTGGTGACTGCCTTGATGTCATCCTAGATGACAGCCGTCCTGAAAGAACAGTCAAGGTCGGGACGGTAGCCTTCGAACGGTTGGGAGAAGGCTTGCTCCAGCTGCTGAAGGAATTCAAAGACATCTTTGCCTTTGAAGTGGAAGAGATGCCAGGCGTCAGCCCGGATCTTGCTGTCCACAAGCTAGCCGTAGATCCCAAAAAGCAGCCGGTTAGGCAGAAAAAGAGGGATCATGGTGGAGAAAGATCTCAAGCGGCAGCGGCTGAGGTCAAAAAGCTGTTGGATGCTGGGTTCATTAGGCAATGCTACTACCCGGATTGGGTGGCAAATGTCGTTCTAGTAAAGAAACCGAACGGTACTTGGCGGATGTGTGTGGATTACACAGATCTGAACAAAGCATGCCCAAAAGATAGCTATCCGCTTCCAAAGATTGACAGCCTAGTCGACTCAACAGCCGGCCATGCGCTAATGAGCTTTATGGATGCTTATTCCGGCTTCCATCAAATACCTCTCTGGAAGAAAGATCAGGAGAAGACGGCTTTTGTCACTGATCAGGGGTTATTCTGCTA